AACAGTTCACTAGTCAGGGAAAGACCGTGTTCCTGAGCCCTCTGTTATTTTTCCATCCTATCACCTGCAATTTAGCTTACTTTTTTAATGCAGGGATCCCAGATAAAAGGAAGATCCCCCAAACAAAAAGTGAAGATATTTTGCTCCAAGACTTGGAGAATCTTTTCAGCAGCTTTGACACTGGGCAGGTGGGTGGAGGGTAGAGGGAATAGGAGAGGGAGTTCCTGTGTGTGTTTGTTTGTAGGTTAAATTTTATATAACAGTAATCAAATGAGAGTGGGTTTCTGGTTCTGATACTGGTAATGTGCCTGGAACAAAACTGGACACAGTATTTTCATCACTAGCAGCCCTGGAGAATTCTTTATGATGAAATCTTCACTAATGATCACTCTATGCTTATTATCAACTGCAATTTTTAGATGAGTTTGTAAAAAAAAAAAAAAAAATCCAAGAGGAAATAATTTCATTTACAAAAAAACCCTGAAACCATTCTTGTTTCATAGAGCTTGAAACAGCTTCATCTTCTTTTTCTGTGAAATTTCTTGTTAATATGAGTCAATTTTTATTGAAATTATTTTCTAAATATTTCATGAAAAAATGGATTTCACAGGTGAAGCATGACTTAAAACGACTTTTTGTTATGACTATGAAAATGATTTAAGATCCTAAAAAATAACACTAAGTAAAAAAAATTCTCAAAATGTCACAGCAAAATTGATATAAATGGGCAAAAAGTATAGTTTTAGTAATGCTGGCAACTGTTCAAAACATGTTTTTGAATAAATGGCTATTTCACAAAGAAAAACCCAACCCTTATTGTGAAATTTTCCAACCAGATTTACTTTTCAGGATCTGTCTTTAAACTCTATTGGAGCATAAATACAAGAACAGACCCAAGGTTATCAGAGACCTCCAGAAAAAGGTACTTTGAAAAATTTGTTAGGATGCTATCTCTTATGAAGAGGGAAAAGCTCTGAGTGCTGATTTGTGGTTAGAATTTTAACTGGAGATGAGCAAAGTTAATTTACATTTAAAATGTCCACCCAACAGGGATCCAACTGCTTGTTTCTTTCAAGCTAGAGGTTTTCTAACTTTAGCTTTCAGAAAGCCAGATGGTACTGTAATCTTCATATTGGCTTCACGGAAAAGACAAACAATTACAGTATTATCTCAGTACCATTTGCACAATTAGAGCTGAGGGAGAAAGGGTGTTCCTGCACGTCCATTACGACTTTTTTTATTTCCCAGAGTTTCACATCTGGCCATAGAAATTAATTATTACTCTCTGAAAAACACATTGAACACAGTAATGATTCTGCATTTCAGCTGTATGTGAAAAGTATTTCTGAAACATACAAATACTGCGTCCAGAAGTTTTTATAAAGCCCCACTCAGACAGATAAAATAAGCAGGGAAGGACCTCTGCAAATAATCCAGAATCAAGTAAAGACCAGAGGTGATGATCAAAGGATTATTTCCCTATGAAATACTTTAAAGTTTTTTTCTTTTTTTTTTTTTTATTAAGAAGGCCCCTCTGTGCTTTTCAAATCAAATCCATAGATCATGCCTTATCTTTAGGCAAATCTCAATATGTTCTTTGGGTCTGTACTCTTACAGGTTGCGTAAGCAGATGATTAACAGTATACCTACACTCTATTGAAGGTCTCATTAATTTAAGGAGGCTTTCCATACGCTTAATTTTAAACACTGGTAAATCAGTGTTCAGATAACTGGTGAAAAGAATTCTCCTACCTATTGGTTACAAGCTCAAGTGCAGGGAATAAAAACTTCTGTCTAATGCTGCATGGTGATGAAATAGCACTGACTGGAATGATGGAGAACATCTTCCACCCCTGCATGGTCCTTCTTCCCTCCCCAAAATACCTGCTGACTGCATGGAGAGGGAACACTGCTTCAGGCCCTCCCAAGGAAAGGTGCTATGCCTGATAGAGCTAACCAGTAGACTCAGTTAAGAGGACATCAGAGGATCACTTCTGGGTATCAACATCTTCATTCCTTCAGCTTTTTTTGTAAATGCCACAAAATGGAAGATTTCCTTTCAGGCTGAAATTGAACTTTCACTGGAGAAAGGAAGGAGAAATGTCCATTTTAAAAAGAAAAAGATATCTCAGATGAGTGCAGATGGAATTTTTCCCTGGTTTTATTTCTGCTCAGCTTTTTCACCAAGCATAGATTTTGACAATACTCTTAGTACAAAGAGAACTTCTGGGCAGCAGGGAAGAAAAATTGCATTGGCACTGGAGCTACAACAGCATAGGCTTCTCTGGATGAATTTCCTAATGCTTTCCAGAAGATGACAGCTAGATTAATCTTGCTATCTCTGCGTAAGGAAAAAAACTCACTTGCACAATTTCTGATTTTAATTATATTCCACAAAAATATAATCTGGACCATCCTCCAGCTCCAGCCAATACTGATGTTCTGTGATGTGATGATGCCTAGATAAGAAATAAACCAATTTCTCTACCCAGTGTCTCCTGCAGAGTGAGGCAGTTTTCTTGTTTGATAATTCAAAAGCAGAAAGAATTCCTACCCCAGATCCGGATTATATGATCCAAACTCAAGCATTATTTTTTAAAAGCTTAATTTCTGTGATCTGACTTGAGACAAAAAGTGGTGTTCTGAGTCTCGATATGAGAGTCAGACTATGTTTTCACTGAGCAAAATTCTTGTACAACTGCTGTAAAATAATTCTTCCCATGCTCACCATCCTATCTAGCTTTAACCAGAAGTAAAACTAAGTAAGAGAAAAGGCTGACTACTGTAAGTATGTGTTTGTGTGGGCGTGACTGTAAGTACTGAGATTATTTTCCCTA